TTGTCCTGCCGAATTACACTCGAGGTTTGTATTTAAACCGAGTAAATTTGGGTTGTGGCAATTCAAATCTGTTTCCTTTTAGCAATTGGACTCGAAAAACTGTCAACCTAAAAATGCTCCACCTGCGGTGTCGCATTTTTATTAGTTGACAGTTTTTCTCGTCTAATTACTAGGCAACAGATTTTCATTACCTAAACAACCCAAATTTACTCGGTAAAATACAAACCTCTTGTGCAATTATAAGTGATAATTTCACGTGTGGTATTTCAGCGACAATTCAATGCGATTATTCAATGACATTTGTCAAACTTCCACCAGTGAAATGTAGCGAAATTTTGTCGTATTAACCGGAACATTCTTCTTAGTTTGTTAATCAATTTCGACAACCGACTTATCACCACATGTTTTAATTTAATCACTCATAACGAATTAGCTTGGAGCACAAAAGTTCAATAGCAAAATGAAAAGCAACTTCCATAATTTATTTTGACGTTTATTGTTGTCATGGAAATACATTCGCGTGGTTAATTATGCTTAATTTTTCTTTTGATTCATTGAATAGTCCTCCGAATACCATTCGTAGTCGAAGTATTTGTAGATTATTTTTGAGCTGCTGCTCCACTCATGCTAGTTACGCTTTTTAATACCACTCGCGCTAGTTACGCTTTTTAATACCACTCGCGCAAGCGCTCGTGGTATTAATCAGCGTAACTAGCATTCGTGACAGCACCTCAAAAATATTCGACAATACTTCGACTACTTATGGTATTATATATGAATATTTCCCGAACAAACATTACTTGTCAAATTGACGTTACCTACTTAAATTGTCGGTGTACTGTATCACAGCCGTCTATAATTACAAGCCATGCTGAGAAGTTTGGCAACTTTGTTCGAAAGTCAATCGGTGGGCCGATATAAGTTTTAATGGCGTCTTGTTGCTCTTGAAAAATGGCATTTTTCCTCTCTCCTGTGTTTCACCTTGGCGGTTTTAATATAGAAGAAAGATACTTAGGCAGCTTATAATTGTACATATATTTTATTTATTTACAAAAATGGATAATAACATTTTTATTTGACTTTAAAATTCGGAACGCTGTAAATTGGTAACTGCATCATAATGTGTTTTCCCTCGAGATCTCCGAAATTGGTGAACTTCTGTCGAAACAGGTCGAGGTGAAGCACACGCTTGAGCACTTAATTTCGGTAAAAGGACAGTAAATCGCTACGCATCAGCGAGGTGTTATCAACGACCAGGTGTGATTCGGAATGGCAGACTTTAAGCCAGTCACTACTCCAGTGGGTCTAGGTACGTAGCTTTTATAGAGGGGAGCCCCGTAGACTTCAAATTCCCGTACCATGAACTCTTGGGAATAAGTTGAAAGGTTCCTTCAGAAAATCGATTTGACATGTCCCTGCTAGAATACCTGAAATACAAACTAATTGTATTTTTTCACGATAAACACGTACCGTACTTACGTACCACGTAGTGTGTAGGTCATATTTGAGCTTGTACAGGTACTTTGAACAAATACAAGTGCTTGTAAAGGGTCCAGTAAGGAGTAGCCTGCTTTAGAGGTTATGACAACAAATCGATATATTTCGCTAAGCAACTTACCTGAATAATAATTCCTGTTCATCCCATACGGAGTAACACAAATTGTCGCAATCTCGCTCTGTTAAAACAGGTAAATAGGAATATTACACCCAAAACACGTATAAAATACACCTGAAATCTGTCAGGTTGAATTAGGAAATCGGCCTACCATGCAGTGTTGCCATAATTCTCAGCACGGCTTGTAATTATAGACGGTTGTGACTGTATTATCAAAGTGTCCAATGGAGTTGCCATGGAGATGAACTGTGCAATTATCGCAGTGCTCTTTCGCTTTCTACAATGCAATTACCGCTGTAATTGAGCGATAATTGCACACCTCATATGGGATTCATTACATATGAGGGAAATATTCTCCTAAATCCATACATCTGCCATTTCCTAATAGACTTTTTGGTATAGGTGAACATTAGCAGGAAATAGTATAAAATTAAAAAAAATTTTAGGTATAATACGGTTGGGTCTACAGTATAAATAAAGTCACATCCGTCAATGCTAACAAAACTTCTTACCCAGACCATTTTTTAGCGTAGTAAACATGTTAGCATTGTAAGGAAATTAATTATTTCATGTATTCATAACCCAAGTTTTTTGTTAATTTAACTGTAAGGAAACTAAAAGGGAATTAGAAACGCGGTTATAAATTTTATTTCAAATGCAAATAAAGTAAATTAATATTTATGTTATATGTGTGTATATTCGGGATGAGTAAATGAAGCGGGTCATCGTAAGTAAAATAAGAGCAAGGAGAGCGAGTTAGATATACAGAAAAACGCAAGTACGATGAATTAACGCAGACACTCGATGTTATCACTCAAATATATCTTTGGCACTTTCAAAATGGGTTTGAAATTTCAATAAACAAGTCGGCCATTGTAATATTTACTAGACATAGACTACCCAACAATAACACTATTGCCTTGTCAAAAGAGGATTTTAAAACACACAAGCAAATAAAATATTTGGGAATGATACTTGACGAAAACCTTTCATGGAAATTTCATATTGAACACTTGCTCAACAGATGTAATAAAGGTCTAAATTTTCTTAAAATGGTAGTAAAAACGTGGTGGGGAGCGGACATCAAAGCGGCTCTTATCTTTTATAGAGCATATTTACGCTCAGTTATAGAATACGGATGTACGCTGTATGGGTCTGCTTTGTTAAAAAAAATCGACGTGTATCAGAATACAATCATACGCATTTGTCTGGGTGCCATGAAATCAACTCCTACCTATTCACTTTACGCTGAAGCCTGTGAAACCCCGTTAAAACACAGAAGAACATATTTTAGTGAAAAATTCCTCTCAAAAATTTATATCTTAAACAAAGTCTTATTTTCAAACATAATCACACTAAATACTTTTGATTTAGTCAGTGACTACTGGAAAAAGAAAAATTCTCCGCCTCTGTCTAGCAGTTCAGTAATGCTATGAGGAATTAATTAAAGTTCACAATATAGGAAAAGTTGATGAATTTAGGGATCTCATCGCGCTCTTAAAACCAATAACGTTTGTTAAACCCCAATATGATCAAGATAGACACATAAATCACAACATTCTTGCAAAAGCCTTGTCTGCATGGGACAACGCGGTGATCGCGTATACTGATGCGTCCAAAACATCTTGTGGTTCAGGTTTTGCCTTCTATATTCCTTCCAAAAATGTACAAGAATTATACCGAATAAACGACCAACTTTCAATCTTCAGCTTGGAAGCAATAGCAATATAAGAGGCCCTATGCTTTATACAAGATGCCAGATATAGTAAGGTTGTTATAGCATCTGACTCTTTATCGGTATTGGAAAACCTTCAAAGCCTCAACTTACAAATTACAAAAACAAACCTGTTCATTCTAAAAATAAAAAAAAATGGTCAACTGCTTGGAACAAAAAAACACTCTAATCTATTTTATTTATGTAAAATCACATATAGGGTTACGAAATAATGAACAAGTCTCGGTTGGCAGCCAAATTCGACACTTACAAAGGCAGCTATCAAATACCTTTGTGTGATTTTAATTCAAACAGGAAAGCGCATTTATTTTCATTGTGGGCTTCAGACTGGCAGGAATTTTGTACCAATCGCCCAACGCGATACACAATGTTGCATCCTACACTACCTAAAGAACACTGGCACACACATTTACCTACACCTACCGAGAATATTTCAAACCACGATTGCCAGAATGAAATTTGGACATGCAGCTTACCCTGAACACCTTTTAAGAATAAACGTACTACCAAATAGTGCATGCAAGCATTGCGGAATGGTTGGAAGTCTAGACCACATCTTCTTTCCTCATAGCATTACTGAACTGCTAAACAAAGAGGCGGAGAATTTTTCTTTTTCCAGTAATCACTGACTAAATCAGAAGTATTTAGTGTGATTATGTTTGAAAATAAGACTTTGTTTAAGATATAAATTTTTGAGAGGAATTTTTCACTAAAATATGTTCTTCTGTGTTTTACGGGGTTTCACAGGCTTCAGCGTAAAGTAAATAGGTAGGAGTTGATTTCATGGCATCCAGACAAATGCATATGATTGTATTCTGATACACGTCGATTTTTTTTTTAACAAAGTACTGCTAGCAGACCCATACAGCGTACATCCGTATTCTATAACTGAGCGCAAATATGCTCTATAAAAGAGAAGAGCCACTTTGATGTCCGCTCCCCACCACGTTTTTACTACCATTTTAAGAAAATTTAGACCTTTATTACATCTGTTGAGCAAGTGTTCAATATGAAATTTCCATTAAAGGTTTTCGCTTTTTCATGTTTAATAGAATTTTTAGCAGATGGAAATATAACTTTGTAAATTTAAAAAAAAAACTACAATAACGAAGCTGGTTGAATGACCACTGGTTCAAGCCAAAAAAAAATATTGAATGACAAAGTTTGTGATAGTGCGGAGTGGGTATTTATATCATTTGTCGTTGTAAGATAAAGAGCTCATTGGGTCAAAATTTACAAAGGCGATACCTATAAATATGAATGTAAATACTGGAAAAACAGCAGTTAAGCGGCGTTACACAGTATTAAATCTGCGCCGGTCGTTTTTGGCAAAGCGCGTCATGCAATCTCCATCGAGCCACCGTCGGGCTGTGGATGCTTCGCCTGTTACCGGGTATGAATAACGTGGCGGTTTAAATACATATATTACACTATATACACAGTCAAAAGACAAGAACAACGTATGTACAATATTCGATGGCGCGTATCAAACTACTTAGAGTAGCGGTACGGAAATGGTGAGTTGCCCTAGGCCTCAATCTGCCTACTCCTAGGGTTGATCCAAGACGCTCGATCGATGGATCCCCTTAGTGCTGTCGGTTGGTGCTTATATAGGTAGCCGCCGTTAATCCCCAGTATAGTAGGCTCCGCCTACTGAGTAAGGGTAACAGTTCCCCCCCGCTTCGAAGGATTCGGCGGCTGGTGGTTGGACGTGGCTGGCTGCGCCCTGTTAGCTTCCTGTGCTGGTTGGATTCGTTGCGGTATGTTGTAGTGGCGGGATGTTCTTTTGTGGCGTGGTGGTGTGGGCGAGATGGCGGGTCTTGGTGGTGGGTGAGGTGTTCCTCGATCTGGCGGTGGCGGTTCCCGTGCGGCCTCTCTACGATTGGGGGCTGGTCGTAGGTCATGGATATGGACCTTCACCTGTTCTCTGTCTCGCTGGATGAAATATGAGTTTGTGCCTGCGTTGGCGATTACTCTATATGGCCCTTTCCATTTTCGCTGAAATTCTCCCGTTGCGAGGTCTCGGGATCTCTCCATTACTTCGTCCCCTGTTTGGAACTGCACCCTGGTTGGTCCGAAGTTCGCGTACCTGGATCGGTAGCGGTGCTGGTTGCGGTGGACTGTCCGGATCCGTTCCTCGCGTTCTTCACCTTGGCCGATGGGAGTTGCCGGGGCTTGAGTCGCATGCCATTCTCCTGGGCTGGGGAGTTCATATCCAAGCAGGGCATTGCTCGGCGTCGTTCCCGTGGCGGCATTTTTTCTCGTCCGGGGGGTGAAGAGGATGATGGGGAGTTTCCTGTCCCACATCTGTGAAGCCTCCCCGTCGAGGTGTATGCGTAATCCTTTCTTAATTTCCTGGTTCCGCCTCTCCACTGGGCTAGCTGTCGTCCAATGGTAGCACCCCCAGTGTCGGAATGCGGCATCCCAGGTGACGGAGATGAATTGTGGGCCATTGTCGGAAACTATCGCCCTTGGGAACCCGTATCGTCCGAATACTTCATTCTCCAGCCGATTGACTACAGCGTCGGTGGTGGTTAGCCGGAGAGGGAAAGCTTCTACCCACATGCTGTATAGGTCCGTCACTACCAGTATGAACCGATTTCCCAGATGTGAGGTGGTGTATAGGTCGACGGAAATCTCCTCCCACGGACGACTGGGTTGTCGTGGTCAGACAGTGGCTTCCTGAATGGGTCCTCGCTTTGCCACGGTGCATACCCAACAGTTCCGCACGTAGTTCCTAACGTCTTCTTCCATTTTCGGCCAGTGGTAGTGGGAGTATATGGCCCGTTCTGTTTCTTCCGCTCCTGGGTGGCCTGCTGTTGGTGAATCGTGGTACGCGTGCAGGACTGCTTCTTTCATGTCGACGGGTACTACCAGAAGATCTCCGTGGTTGGATTTGCGGTAGAGATATCCGTCGTGGGAAGTGTAGTTCTGGAAGAAACGGTTTTGGGCGGGGTCCGCGGGCCCGTTGTCCTGGATTAGGTTCCACGTAGTTATCAAATTGCCAGCGGGTGGATTGTTTCTCTGGCTTTGCTTCACGCTGTCGGCAAGTTCTGCCACTTCGATGTTGGCGAGGAATGGTGGCCCTGTGTCGTCCCTGTCTGCATGGTGCGGAGGGCGGTGGTAGGAGGCGACAGGTAGTCGGGGAGTTCGTTTTCCTTGCCGGGGCAATGTATCACGTCGAAGGAGAATTCTTGCAGTCTCAGGGCCCATCTGGTAAGTTTACTCTTGTCGTCCTTCGTTCGGTCTAACCAAAGGAGCGCTCGACTGTCCGTTTTGAGTGTGAACTTTCTGTCCTCCAGGTATGGTTGGTATCGCTTGACCGCCCAGACGACCGCCAGACACTCTTGTTCATTCACATGATACTTGCTCTGTGCTCCGTTTAGTTTTGCGCTCGCGTAACTTATGATGTTGCGCTGGTTGGGGCGGGGCTCCTGGTAGAGTACGGCTGCGATGCCTTTGCTACTGGCGTCAGTTTGTAGGATGAACTGCAACTTGAAGTCCGGACGGCACAGCTTAAGGGGTTGGCTGATGGCGTTTTTCAGTTGAACGAATGCTTGAGTGGCTGCTTCGGTCCATCGGTACGGCGTGTTCTTTCGTAGTAGGTCGTCGAGAGGGCCTTGCATTTCTGCGCATCGCGGGACGTAGTCTCGGATCCAATTAGTCAGTCCCAGGAAACTACGCAGCTGCTTCCTTGTTTTAGGCGCTTCGGCGGTGCGGATGGCCTCGACGTGCTCCCGTAGCGGTTTGTTGCCGTCTGCTTCAATGGTGTGACCAAGGTACTGAATGGATTGTACCCCAAAACGGCATTTCTCTACCGATAGTCGTAGCCTGTGGTGCTGCAATCGCTCTAGCACTAGATGGAGGTGTTCTTCCCAGGTCTGCGAGTACACAATGATGTCGTCTAGGTAGACCATTGCGAATTTGTGTAGATATCCTGGCAGGACTTCTTGTGTCATCAGCTTTTGGAATGTTGCTGGCGCATTCTTCAGGCCGAAGGGCATCACTCCGAATTGATAGGCGGCTCCGTCAGGTGTCGTGAAGGCGGTTAAAGGTTTGGACGCATCATCCAGTGGTACTTGCCAGTATCCCGATTTTAGGTCCAGGGTTGAGAAGATCTTTGCGATCCCCAGGTCCCTTAAGGTCTCGTGGATAACGGGTAGGTTTGAGCTTTCGTTCAGCCGTCGGTAGTCCACACAGAACCGTGGTTTGCCGTCCTTTTTTTTCACAATGACTACCGGTGAGCTGTAGTCCGATATACTGGGCTCTATGATTCGCGCGGCCAGCATGGTCTCTACTTCTTCCGTGATGGCCCTCTTCTTGTCTGGAGAGTAACGATACGGTGGTAGTCGGAAAGGCGTGTCTTGCTTCAGGGTGATCTTATGTGTGGTGGATGCTGTGGTGGTTGCGGAGGCGTCTCCTGTGAGCGTTGTCTCAAAGTTTCGCGCGAGTTTGGCCCACTGATCCTTCAGGTGTGATGGGAAACCGTGCTTGACCTCGGTAATGGGGGTCCCTTGCCGTCGGGTGGGTTGGGTGGTAGCGCGATTCCAGTGCACCGTCTGTCTGCTTTCCGTGCCCCAATGTACACATCCACGCTCGTAATCGATGACGGCTTTCTGGTGGCGTAACCAAGCTTGTCCAAGAATCACTGGCGCGACGAGCGACGGTGTCACCAGGAAGACGCCCTGATAACTTTCTCCTTCCACTTGGTACTGGATGGTTGTGGTTCCGACTATCTGTAGACGGTGGCTGGGATCAGCTAATGTGGCTGCGTCCTCCGTGTACTTCTGGATCTTGTGGGCAAACTCGCGTCGGATGAAGTTATGTGTCGATCCTGTGTCGAGTAGGGCGGCCAGCTCTTTATTGTTGGTCGTCAGCGTTATAGTCGGAAGACCTCCATCGTTTGCGGTTTCAATTAGTTGAATGGCCGGGTGTTTGATCCGGCCCCTGATCCGTTTTCCTGGTCCTGTTGTCGGTTAGCTAGGACGGGGCAGTCCCGGTGGAAGTGATACTGAGAGCAGTAACGGCATTTAGGTACGTTCGGTGGGCGTTGTGGGTTGCTGATAGTATCGACGGCGGCTGGTCGACTGCGGCTCCTTATGTCCTCTTCAATCTCGGTGGCCAGTTGTACTAGGTCCAGCATCGTCTCGGGCATGTGACTTCGAAGGTGGCAGCGTATGTCCGGATGTAGCAGATCGCGGACTAAGTGTAGGTGGTTGTGCATCGAGATGTTGAGCCTCCTTGCGATGCGGACTTTTCGTTGTAGGAAGGTGTTGCACGATTCTGTCCTCTGCTCTCTGGCGAAAAATTCGGCGTGCAGCTTCCCGGTTTGTCTGCGATCGTCGTACTTTTTCAGGAACTGGGTGTTTAGTTCGGTGTAGTCAGTAGGAGGTTCCCTGTTTGTGCTTGCTGTTTCCTCGATTTTCTGAAGGAACGGCTTTGGGTCGTCCAGGAGATCTCCGCTGTATGTCGGCAGGTCCTTTTGTTCGGGGAGCAGTTATCGTCGAAGGTAATGGGGTCGGTGGCGGCAGTGTGGTGATTGGTTTCGTTTCCGGAGCTGTGGCAGGTGGAGGCCGTCACAGTGCTTGATTCGGCTTCTGTGGTTTGTGTTGGCGGTGGTGGTGCCTTCCTCTTCCGTGCTCGGGTTTTCATAGGCATCGTTGATTGTGTTGATTGGCGCCACTGGGACTGTTGGACCGGGTCCAGGCCGGTGGTGGTGGCGATGATGGTGGTCGGCTGCTGTCGGTTAGAGTGGTGGTGGTTTAAGCGCGTTGCTTAACAAGTTCGAAGACGTTGGGCGCAATTGTTACCGGGTAGAATAACGTGGCGGTTTAAATAACATATACTACACTATATACACAGTCAAAAGACAAGAACAACGTATGTACAATATTCGATGGCGCGTATCAAACTACTTAGAGTAGCGGTACGGAAATGGTGAGTTGCCTTAGGCCTCAATCTGCCTACTCCTAGGGTTGATCCAAGACGCTCGATCGATGGATCCCCTTAGTGCTGTCGGTTGGTGCTTATATAGGTAGCCGCCGTTAATCCCCAGTATAGTAGGCTCCGCCTACTGAGTAAGGGTAACACTCCCCACAATTCTACAGTCGGTCCGTGCAAAAAACACCTAGAGGGTTAATAATTTCCATTCTGAATAAAAGCCGTGGCCGAACGCATCTAAAACTACTGGTACATAAATATTAAAGGTATTTATGATCAATTGCTCTAACGCGTTGTAGTATTGCCGCTTTTCATAGTGTTACCACCTGTAGTCTGGGAGATTAGGAAAAAAGTTCGCACTTTTGAGTAAAGCTATGAAATTCAGTACGAAAATCATCAACATTTGTAGTATTAATGAATGAAAATGCCTTCACTACGTCGCCAAGACGCCGGTTTCAAGCTTCAAAGAAGTTTTCTTCCTACGCCCGTAGAAATTGGAGACGGGGTCACAGCCAGTGATCGCGTGAAACATCGGAAGGGCTGCTGATCTTGATCGACCTGCAAAAAGTTGAAAGTTTATATGCGCATGTTCCGATAAAAAGCACAGCATCAAAACCTTCTCCTTAAGACTTACCGAGAGAGTGTGCAAGAAAGTGCACTGAGATGTTGGTTACTTCCGGCACCAAAGTACAACCCAGGTTCTTGCAAGGTGGAAATGGCGTGTATATAACAGATATTGCTATTATTAGTAAATCTGCATCTAAAAACGATTTTGCCAAGTTTCGGATTTTTCCAGATATCTCCGAAAGTAGTCGGAATTTTTTAAGTTTGAAAACTGCATTTTGTTAATCATCAAAATACGCAACTTTGCCAAATTTAAACTACCTACCTATCTCTTACAGTTCTCGAAATCCCCATAGTGGCCCTCGAATTTGAATCACCTTGTATAGGAATTTGTATATGTACCTGTTTGTCACACACTATGATAAGTGCAACAGAGCCACCTATTTTCTTGGGAGTTAGCTCGGACCCATGCAAAAAGTTTGGCTCTAAACACCTTTCGGCGGCGCCCTAATGTCCTAAACCGGTCAGACACGCACAAGGTATAACAAAGTTGTACGGTCTTATGTTTATGCATTAATAAATGTTAAAAAAATACAGGTCATGGAACGTTTTGCAAGCCTCAATTATCAGTGGGTTCTAAAACGGCCGACGCGTCAGCTGTCCTATATACAGCAGCTATTAACACATGCGCATATGCATACCTTGTCTCATTGTACCATGGGCAAAAATAGATAGCGATGGAAAATTGGTAAGTATGGATAAAATTCCAGTTTTCTACTTATTAACAAAAGAAATTAAAGACTAGTGAAATACAGGGTGAGCCATTATTGTGTGGGTTGGAGATTGTGGATTTATCAACGCGCATATTAAAATTCATTGTCGGGTAATGTCGAAGGACCCTTAAGGTTACAATCTCAAAATATTTCCAACGAAATTTCAATTGTTATTCAGTGTGATTTATATCAATGTTGCATGTTGATAAATGAAACCCCCTGTATATTATTACATATTTAGATTGCTTGGTAAATTTTAGTGTGACTTTATGTATTACAACATGAGATCTAAAATTAGTGGTTTAGTCGCAATCCGTCACTTTTTCATAAAGTAGAAGTCCAGTAAAAATTGAATATCGCAGTTGTCCTAAAACTTAGAAGGCCGTGACCCTGTAGTGTTATACTAATCATGAAATGTACTAACATACGCCGAACGGCTAAAGTTAAACTTCTTTTGTGTTAAAAGAGATCACTCCGTCAATTTTCAAAACTTCAATCAAAGATAACTTGATTTTTTTTAATGGAACTACTATAAATTGACCAGCGCGTTCTCCAGACCTTACACCACTTGCCTTCTTATGAGGATACGTGGAAGGAACTGTATGCAAAGAAGGCACAAGAAAAAAAGAGAATATGATAATGGGCATTCGTAGTGCTTTCGCATCCATAACGCCAGCTGCGCTTCGTCGTGTCAAAGAATGATTTTCTAAACTCATTGACAAATGTTTGTTCTTGAATATCTATTGAAATAGTTCTTATTCTCCTCTTATTCTTATGGTTTTTGTTTTGTATTATTTGGAGAACATTTGTTATAATTTCAATTGTTTTTACTTTTTAAGGGCCTACTCATTACTGAAAGGCTTTGAAAATCGAAAATCTGTAAATTATTAGAAATTGTTGAATTACAAAACATATGCAAAAGATAAATATCAACATGCTTATATTATTAAAAAGGTAATAAAATCCTACATTTCGTGCGATAAAAAAACCTGGTAGTTCTATTTAAAAAAATCAAGTTACCTTTGATTGAAATTTTGAAAATTGACGGAGTGATTTCTTTTAAAGTTCTAACACAAAAGAAGTGACGGATACAGGGAGTTCCATTTAAAAAAATGCAACTTTGATATAAATCACCCCCTGTATAACAATTGCAATTTCGTTCAAAATATTTTTAGGTGGGTCCTTCAACATGCTCCGACAATCAATTTTAAATATGGGCGTTAGTAAACCCACAATCTTCCGCACACACACTAACGGCCCACCCTGTATACTTGGCAACGTGCACTTCTAATTTTGAAATCGTGTATTTTCATTATAAATTCAACATGAGAATGTGGCATAAGGTAACGTATTGAATAAGAACCTCCTAAAGAACCTATAAAACTTTGCAACCTGCTCTAACTTTAAAAGCTAAGTCAACCCTGTAATAATATGAACGATAATTCTACCTAGCACTATTATTTTTAGCTTCCCAGCCTGAGCTACATAAGTGGCTATTGCGTTCACTGTTTCTTTTTGGACACATGTTCCGTCTGTACGTATGTGCTAGGTTTCATTACAAAAAAACGGAGAAAGTTAAAAAACCAAAATATTTTTTTCGGCAAAACAGTTATTTTGATTTCGTTATAATTTTGGCAGTGTATATTAGGCATATAAGACTGGCAAAAACGTTTTTTTTTAACTGGTTTGAGCTTGGAAGATGTTCTGTCAAGAATTTGACACCAGGATTTTAAGTGAATTTGGTGGCTTCGTATTCTACAACCCCACTGAAATTTTGTCAACAACCCCTGCTTGTAAATATTAATTAATACATCTTTCCAGGAATAGTATGCCAACCTCAGAAGATAAAGACCACTACCACTTTAATTTTTTTGTGAAGAAAAACGCGCTCTCTTGACCTAGTGTAGTTTTGCGCTGATCTTTCTTTGTATATTAACCACCCGGTTTTAGAGATTTTAATATCACTCTTTACTGACTTGACCACCACAATCACAAATGTACTTGACCTGAAGAAGTTAAAATCTAGCGTCGTATATTTCTTCTCATAATTATGAGACGAGGCCCCTTACCCTATAGGTAGTGTATGTACTACCTACATACGTTCTTTGTACCTACCTATATTAAAACTACAAGAAAGACCGATTAGTCATTAACACAATGCATTGTTAATTTAACATTAGCTGAAAATTGCATTTAGTAATGTCTAGTAGTCTACGTCTACCACTGTATTTTGGTTGGATGCCTCCTCATAGTCAACTTATTTACAAGCCAATTTCTTCGGCAATAGGTCAAATGATTGGTTTTAATGACGAAGAACTAAAAATGGATTCTGCACTATCGTTCTTACTCAAACAATTCGCACCCAGACATCTAACGCTCGGATACTTCACAACCTAGGATTCGGACCAAAGATAAATCGCATCAGGGCATTTCGCAACCAGAAAATTTGTACCCGGACAATTCGCACTCGAAAAATTTGCCCGGTAAAATTTGCTCTCGCGCGCAGAAAATTCGCAACAAGGGAAATTTGCATCAAAATTCACTCCCAGATAATTCGCACTGTGATAGTTTGTGCCAGGGTAATTCGCAAAGGCTTTCCGCTACCCTAACATTTCGATTTCTGGACGCATCGAACCCGCAAAGTATGTCATCAGAAGAGTTCACATTTTCCTTGTAGCACAGATAAAATACCATTGGGTATTTTATCTGTGCTTGTAGGTTTAGTAGATTCCCGCACTCGAAAAATTGGCATCTGCATAATTCGCATTCAAATAATTCGTGCTAATAGTTATAGTAATAGTTCAGTCTTCATTTTTAATAAAGAGAAAAATGTGCTACTTAGCAGTGGTGCGCTTGCAAATATCTGGAGAACGAAAGGTCGGAATACCCACAATGAGAAACTGGAATGCCAGGAAGAGGCGCATTTGTTGTTTGAGTTACAACTTCAGGTGCGAGAAGAGGTCAAGAGAAGAGAGTGTCGGAATAGAATGGGCTCCTTTTACAAGGTAAAATGAAATGAAACGTATGAATGAGACTACTTGTTGATGTAGACGATGTAGTTCAAACTTTCCACTACATACTTTTGAGACGTCCGAAATCGAGAAGGGGTACTCATATAGGGACAGCAGTAGGTCTGTACGGAACGTATCCGTTGGGGGCGCAAAATTTCAAATCAAGAAAAGACTAGGAGTAGGTATTCACAAAAGAGGAGTAGGTATTACCAGTTTCTCGGTGGAGGCTTGAAAAGCGCAGAATAACTTTCGGCGAACCCCATCGTAATTCGTTTAATACCTTTATTGTTTTTGTTTTTATGTACCAACGGCATAGAGATGTGTAATATTTGGTGTTGAGACGCATCAGTAGATGGACAGACACTAACATCTTATTGTGTGGTTTCATAAAGCGCGAATAATGCATAATAGTCCAGGAAATAGAGACTGAAAATGGACCATTTCCTGCAAAACGAGAAGTAGTTCCAATTTTTTTTGCATGTCATGAAAGACTATCTGGTGATTAAGAATCCAAGTTTTCGACTCCCCACCCCTTGTGCTTCCCCTGTACCACCCGTAAAACCAAAGAAATTTGGTTGGTTTTTTAGTTTTTCAATCATATCTTTTATTTAAGTTCATTTTACAAAAAAATATTGTTATCAGAAATTGTAGACCATAAAATTCTACACAACTTTGATGTACACTACTTTTTTGTGAAATGTTTATTAACAGCGATATAGAGCTTCAGAGTTGCTTATATTTTTAAGAACTCTAAAATTTGTATGTAGATGTTTTAACCAAAATTTTATACTTTATCTCTATAATTAAGAGTTTTATGAGAAAATATCTTCAACTTATCGTGGCATAAATACCTTTACGCTGCACCCTTACCAAAGGGGATGCATAATAATTCAACTTTCAACCCTTGCTAGTGGGGATATTTGAATCACTGTGAGATTTTAGGGCTTTCTAATATACGTTTGAAACAAAAAATTATCTCACTTCAGTTCAGCTTCATCCTCCATATCCTTCATCCCCCCCCCCTCCCCCCAACCGCTGTAGGAATAGATATTTAAGAGGAATAGAAAATATTATGTAATAAGCGTTGTATTCTCTGACTAACTTCACAATCGCCACAAGAGCGTTTAAATATCTATTCTTTCCGCGCGGGGGGGAGAGGGGGAGGGGGGTTAAACTGAACTGAAGTGAGACAATTTTTTCATTTCAAAAGTATATTAGAAAGGGCTATAATCTCACAGTAATTCAAATATCCTCACTAGCAAGGGTTGCAAGTTTCATTATTATGCATCCCCTTTGGTAAGGGTGCAGGGTAGAGGGATTTATACCACGATAAATTCAAGTTTTTTCTCATAAAACTCTTAATTATAGTGTAAAAGTATGAAATTTGATTAAAACACCTACATAGAAATTTCAGAATTCTTAAAAATATAACCAACTCTCAAGCTCTATATCTTTTTTAATAAACATTTCACAAAAAAGTAGTGTACATCACAGTTGTGTAGAATTTTATGGTCTACAATTTCTGATAACAATATTTTTTTCTAAAGTGAACTATTAAAAAGATACGATTGAAAAACTAAGAAACCAACCAAATTTCAGGGGTTTTGGGGGTGGTACGGGGGAAGCACAAGGGGTGGGAGGTCGAAAACTTAGATTCTTAACCACCAGATGACTGTCTACGACATGCAAAAGAAATTGGAACTACTTCTCATTTTGCATGCTAAAACCCTCTATTCCCTGGACTAATTGTATTGTGTTTAATCATTGATTAACTTTTTTTATCAATTACCTAAACATAATACTTTTAATATTTGGGAGATTTGACAGAGAGGGACATCGATTTAGAATGAAGGTACAATGTACAACTACTTTTTACAAGTTGCTTTTCGTTTGTCTTGACGTCGTATATCTTGTGGACGACTTTCTATAAAAAAAATTTAATTGATTTATGCACCCATACCATAATGCGTCTTTATTGCAATAATTACTGACGATCTTATGACGTACACATAAATCACTGAAGACATCCTGTACACGAGTTCAGCTACAAAAGTTGTCGGTGTAATTTATTTTTAACGATCTATACAATGCATTTACCTAATGCAATAATTACGTTGTTAAAATATAATTGAAAGGGACGTTTAAAAAATGGTATTAGGTAGCTATAATTAACACTGCAACTTTTCTAAATACATTCAACTTTTTCTTTCTCTCAGTCTTTTTCTTAGTTTGGGCATATTCACATTAGAGCATTCAGTGCAAAAATTTTCAAGTGACCGGTCTCATTTTCTTTGACCAATGGAGCCACGCGCTAACCGAGAGAATGGAAACGGTTGTTGTACTTACCACTGTATGTAAGTAGAATTTCGATATTTCTTATTTCTCGAAACCATACAATCAAATGGGACTATAAGTAAACCTAGATCCTTGCATGTGTTGATATACAGTTCAGAGTAAATACCTTTTCTAACCGAATTCATCCTTAAAGTTAAATTGCAAAATACAGCATATTTTTTTTATACAGGGTGACAATTTGAAAACTTACCACCCCCCATATCTTAGTAAATAAACGAGATATTTAAAAAAATCAAAATCCGTTTCGGTAATTCGGAGGGGGACTCACAATGACATAGTTGGCGACGCACCCCCTCACACCCCCTGCGCCCCAGCCACCCCAACTTTTAAATCTTAAATAGTGACCCCCCATGTGTGATACGTCGTTGGAAAGCTCAGAAAAAATGCTTTCCAACCATACCAAATAGCATTACATTTAGGTTAGTAATTATCGTGCAAATCAAAAAATAAACTAATATGATACATTTGAAATCTGTCGTATTTAAAACGCAACTGGCGAACATAGACGAACTAAAACAGAGAATAATTCAAGAATGTCGAAATATTGCAAAACCAACATTTGAAAAGGTTCGACAAGACTTTGAGAATAGATTATAACTGGCGATCAAAAATGAGTTGCTGTCGAGTCGGCTTTGGAAGTTCAAGTTAAATACGATTTTCCATGTTTATTTTTTGATTTGCACGATAATAATTACTAACCTAAATGTAATGCTATTTAGTATGGTTGGAAAGCATTTTTTCAGAGCTTTCCAACGACATATCACACATGGGGGGTCACTATTTAAGATTTAAAAGTTGGGGTGGCTGGGGCGCAGGGGGTTGGAGGGGGTGCGTCGCCAACTATGTCATTGTGATTCTCCCTCCGAATTACCGAAACGGATTTTGATTTTTTTAAATATCTCGTTTATTTACTAAGATATGGGGGGTGGTAAGTTTTCAAATTGTCACCCTGTATAAGTAAAAATTGACCGCAAAATCTTGGATCTACGAGTGAAAAATCAATTATAATCTAATCTAGATCTAGATATAAGTTTTTCGTATAAAAAGAATGTAGATGCAGATACAAGATCCATATAATGGATCTAAATCGTGGATCTAAATCCAATGGATCTACTAGATACTACAACACTGAGTCCACCACCTCATTATGTCGCACGGCTTCACCGATACGCTTATCAGATTCAGATAAACAGCGCAATGAGCATTAGGTGCGTTTAGACGTATCCAGTAGCTGGCGCCAGTTTCACTGGCCTGCCAATTCTTGGCTTGCAAAGCACTGGACGGAAAATTAATTTATCTACGACTAATAAGTAATAATATATAATGTGAGTATTGTACTTATGGTTTGTTCGGTATAATGCCATCCATTATTTCCCTAGGGATTAATGACCAGGGATTAATAGCTCATATACGATTTAATTCTGCATATACGTTTTGAATGTCCTCCCTAAGCGAACATACTGTGTCTAAATATAAACAAGTTAAAATGTTGTTATGCACACATAAATGACGAGAGCGTATTTTCCTCCTTATAATATTAATGCTAGGACCGAGAAAAAATACCGGTAGGCACGAGATCCTTACCCCATTCTCTTTCCAATGAGCCGTCTACAACTACAAGGCCGCCTATCGTCGATGTCTATACAGTTTAATGAAAAATGGAGCGTATACAAATACAAGCAAATTTTGAAATGGGAATTATATTAGTTTTACTTTTATTTGAAGGGTCTACATATGAAACTGTTTTAGATGCTTTCGTAAATAGCATTGCGCATTGAAAACTTTATAAATCCATTGAATACCATCATAAATAAAACATACAGCATGCGTAAACAGTAATTTTGAAACCGGAGTTAGTTTTAGTTTCATTCAAAGTAGGCATATGATATTTCATTTAACTGCTTTTTTGAAAACGTCGGTAATTTTACTTATATTCGTAGTGTTTACGTATAAAATTTCATTTAAATATTTCATAAATAAAAAAAAATTAGCATTGCACATGCGTTAAACCAAATTTTTTTGACACTGCGCATGCACAAAACCAAAAAATATCGTCATGCACGGAATATTTGGACCCCTTTCAAATGAGCCCCATATCTCCCAAATCGGCTCAGTGGTGTAGAACGAGTACGTGTGACCGACGGACGGACGACAATGTGCAGCCAATAGAGATTTTTCACTTTGAGGAAAATACGCCAAAAATAAAATAGCTTTCTTTAACTTATAAGTGTTTTCGTACGTATCAACGGCCCTACCTTCATTCAAGAAATAGAAAACCACAACCAACTACATATCGGAACAATTATTGAACTAATTGATATGGCAATTTAAATAGTCAACATCTACTTAACGTTTTGGCCTATACATTTGTATGGAAAAGGCAATTATTCATTTCATTGCATAATCGGTATTGAATTTCTAATAGCTACTTGCCCTTAAGTAGTTAATGTGTATAAATATTCTATATGAATTAATTTGGAGTCAGTAGGTACTTTTTCCATCGTAGTTTTGCGTCAAAGTTCGAACAAGACTGAAGGTGAGACTTCGTTACTAGGACGCTATATGTGCAGGTTTGAGGTAACATCTTTCGTATTTTTGTAAAGAAAGCAGAAGAATAATCATTATTTAAGTACTTTGAGACAACCAGGAGCGGACTGGGTACTTACAGGCCAGGTAAATTTACATAGGTTACAGGCCACAAACATTTTAAGGCATTCCTTTCTCGAAAATCAATTATAGAACTTAGATTTCAGCAGATAAGTAACTAAGAAACTCACTGCTGGGTTGCCAAAAATACACGGCGTTGAGAGAAATTCAATACAACGTTTCGGTTCGGAGAAATCATCAAGTTTATTGTTTATGTGACTCGCAAAAACTCAAAAAGGTACATACTGTATTGAGTAGCATTTTTTATTACGAATACAACGATGTACGGTACAAAAAAAAACAAAAGTTGAAAGCTCTGTTGGTTTCAACAGGATTTGTTGATTTAATTGTTTGTTTTTGTAGGACAGTGACTTCTGATTCCATAAGCAGTGATGGTTGTTAAACTGTTGTATGAATTCCATAGTGGTTTCTGAATTCCACTCTTCTGTGGTGACTTTTTGATAAACTGTAAAACCGCAAACCTGTTGAAACTCAAAATTATTTTCATATTAATACCAATAACATGATTTTATAGTACTTGGTTGCAGTAATCAAGGTGTATTGCTCGCTACCCCGTACTCTGTTGTCACTAATAGTTGCAAATGCATGTTGACACGACCATTGGACAATGACACGACTGCGCATTGCGCAAGCAAGAAGTGAGAAGTAGAATTGTGGTGGAGATACCTACTTGTCACTTAATAAATAGGATGGCCTGCACTGGTCAAAATTACTAATCCCAGCGAGCATAAATATGCAACACTAGCGTAACTGTAACATAAATTTCGTGCGTGTTGCATTATTTAATAACTCAAAGGTGGTGCAACAAATACCAAACCTAAGGCTCAAAATATGTAACAACATTTGCTCAAAAGTTGTTTCGCAATTGTTTCGTAGAACGTTGCGCAAATATTTAGAATTCAGTGTACGGCAAATCTTGAGTAACATTGTTCACAAAATATATTGCAGCCAAGGTTAGGTACAATGTGGATATGAAACTTTTTCGCAACACATGTAACTCAAACCTAAGATTTCAACTTATTCGTGGGACACGTCCCATTGTACATACGCAATCACGCAATGTTAAAAAAAAATCACAGATTTCGCAATCCATGCAACCATTGGAGACATTGGAAATGACGTCATATGTAAACCACAAATAAACCTTATTCACACGGAACATACACTTTTTGAATAATAAGAGTCGTAACATTCTTGTAATACTATCACGGAATGTGCACGAAAATGTTAGAATCGAATTAACAAAACTCTTGGCACACTGAAAAGTGGTACTTCATACCTACCCATACCAAAACATAAACATTTCCAATGCTAAAAATCTACTGAAAGCACATGCACGAAAAATTTGGATTCCCCCTAGACAAAGCTGATAATCTTTTTTAATGAAAATACGATTGGACAAACGCAAATTTTATATTCTGTCGAAATAGACAAACATATACAGAGGGGTTTAAAAAATTACTTTGTTTGCATATCTACATAACTCGGCGTAAGAAGTAGGTATTACATAGACTTCATATCTACTAATAACAAAGTTATATTATCGTTGTTTCTAATTGGACATCCTGTATACGGCATATTATATATACTTGAATGCGCAAACAAAAATATTTTAATTTTGGTAAAATGCTATTTTCATTTCCATAGGCTAAGCTAGCGCATACACAGCGTGAATCAAACATACAAGCATTAGAGCACGTTTCACAAACCTGAAACTTCTTTTTCAGTTTCAGAAACAACGGGGCAGTAACGATAAAGAAACAAGGCAAAGAACTCGGTAACCTGCCATTTGGGGAAATTAAATCGACGTTCCTTGCAATTGCAAAGTCACTGCGCACCTTTAGAAGGACTTGGCTAAGGTAAGTGCCCTTTTTAATTATTTTCCATTACAATGTGCAAGCAATTTTCACTATAAATTCAACTGCCACTATGAGGAAGGCATATAAAACATCGCAAATCCAACTTAAACAAATATCGACGGAAAGCCACCCCAAAGCATATGTAATAGAAACTCAATTCAAATTGAGTTATCGACCAATATAAAAATCAATACGACAAAACTCACGGGTAATTATTATTTACGGGAAAATTATTAGGAATTTTAAATTAACACCCGGTTGTGAACAACGAAGTAATATGGAGGTTAATAGGTACGAGCACTTGTTAAAATGCAATTAGCATTCAACGGGATCGAGTTAATAAAGAGAAAAACCATTAACGGATGCACTCTTTTACAAATCGAATTGTACTTATAATGATTGAATAAGTTGTACCACTCGACCAAGTGTTGCTCCAATAAGGTTATTAAATCCTTTTTCTCCCTGGAGAATATGAGAATAAGAAATTACACAACACCATATTCGTATAAGTATAAATTGCTATTGGGTAAATCCACTCGGTAGCAAAAAAACGTCATCGAAATAAAAATTAAATAAATAAAAATAAAAAATGCTAAGAACGAAAATTTCTTCCGTTTTGTTTTACCGTTTACTCTCATTTGACTATACCACTATAGACGAAGGTGGATGAACAGGAACAGTGGAATTCTTAGAATTCCAATCTTAAAATTAAATTTAAGAAATAAAATTACAAATGAATGTTAAAAACGACGAAATGGGAACAAGGAACATAGTAAGATTTGATGTGGTTATTGATCGGGATTTATGATTTATGAATTTAGGCCTTTTATAAAAATAAAATACCCACAATTATATTATTTTGTTCCCTAATCATAACAAATGATAAATATAGTACCTGTGAGGGCACGCGCACATGCGTTATCATTCATAAAGGGCAATCTGCTCCTGGCCGCGACGGTTTCGGAAATAGCGTTGGGCAGAGAAACCTTATGTAATCGATTGTTAATCGATTAGCTGGTTACAAAAGTTAACCAAAAATACCAATAAACCACAATATTTCAGTTGAACGCTGACGATCACAGCTATGCTGTTGAATCGCGTTCGATATGTTAATATTATTGGTATTTGTTACGTTCACTTTGGGCAAAAGTAACAAAGTTACCTTGAGATAAGCACACAGTAAGCTCAGTCAAAGTATAGGTAGTTCGGGGTGAATTTCATGGTTTTTACAAGCAAAAAGGAAATATACAATGTAATAATAAACCTTACCTACGCCAAGAAAATGTTGGGGTACATGTTTACCCCATTGGAACTTAATGTAAGTTTCTGATCAGGAGCTTACAAGGGTTAAAATATGGTGGTACCGAATTTGAGACGTTCAGTGTAAATAAGTACAAAATGAGCAAAAGACAACGGCAGCCTAAATCAAATCGTATTAAACTTGGTGAACCCCGACTGCTGCGAATTGAGAACATAACCACTTCTATATCTGATGTGTAGGTACCAAATCGGAATCTACATAAATAACTATTTTTCAGTTACACTATTAGGTGGGTTTATTAATATAGGCTCAATGAATACAACATTTATTAATTCTTCAAACAATGTGTTGATTCGGACAAATAAACGACACGAAACTTTCATTTCTTACGCCGCGCCTATCGGCCCCATGTAGATAATTCAGTACCCTCGAAAATTCCCTTGGTACAGTTACAAATAACAAACTGGATTTTTTTGACAACATAAATAATGAAGACGCGTTTAGATCATAATCAAGATGTAGTTCATCCGGGTTAGATGGTTATAATTATTTTGAATGACAACCATTATTTCATGCGGAATAAGTAGAACCAAATCGACGCAGTACGTGGAGGAAACTGACCCAACACAATCAAATAACCTTCCAAAAACAAATTTTTCTCAAAAACTAAAAAAGAATTTCACAGATAGGACGTACAGATTTTTGTATATACCTAATAACACTATGTATTTGATGTATTACTTAACTCGCCCCAGTTATCCATCGAAAATCCGAAAAAATAATCTTATTGTAAGCGCAAATAATTACAATTATTGCACTTTCCGTTAATCGATAATAAATTCTTGCGGTAATAGTTTGAATCGCTATCATTCCATCTTCATTCGCGAAAGTGGCGTGTGACATTGTGCACTTGACCCATATTTGTTTGTTGGTGAAAATTACTCGGCGTACCTATAGCAAGTACCGCCTATTGAAGTCTCTCAAAAGGAGAAAGAAGTACAGTTTTAGAAAACTCCATTAAACCGGTAATGGAGATCAATCCGATTTCCGTGGCCACGCATTTATAGTGAAATGGACAAAGACGGAGAATAAATGTGTAAAGTCAATTTTCGCGATGCAGTACGAAGGATAGATACATTGGTATTTCTCGTTGCAAAACTGAAAGAAAGACTATGTAGCAGGTACCAATGGGAATTTAATAGCATTGTGTTTCAAGTTCAGTGTTATTATAAAAGTACTTTGCATTTCTCTTCGTTGCATTGTAAACGGTACCGTTTTGTATGTAACACGTTTTGGTGCAAACGCTGTATTTTACGGAAATTCGTATTTGTTAAATTTAGGTAAGTTTCTTCTAAATATAGGTATATTGGGCGTTTTTCGGGCATTTATAATTTTATGAAATAATCGTATTATATTAAAAAAAACGCAAGTTATAAGTGAAATGTGCTTTGTCAGATTTTTTTTTTACAAGCTTCTTCTAATGTAATTCTATACTTTTTGCAAGAAAACGTGCGAGGAATCGGTTTGTAGTCGGCAATATTAATTGTTAAATCAGTAGATATTTAATACAAGGAAGTTTCAAACATGTAAATAATGGCGTGATTTGGATTTGAAAATAGTCGAAACTCGATTGAAATCACCCACAATCGATTTTTTACCCTAAAAATTGTACAGCTTTTCTTTAAATTTTTGGATCTGATAGGCTAAAGTTTGCGTTTACGTAGCCTAAATAAACTCAACATGTTTTAGCAAAGGGCGATGGGCCAATTTTTTAGGGGTCGTTTGAGGCAAGAGAGTTTTGAATAGACGATATTTTCCCTCAGCGTATCATTTGCTGTTTGTGTAATTTATTTTCCTTCGTTAAAAAAAGATTGTTTTGGCGGGAAATTTCTTTGCCAAATAATCATCCTTATCACGCATTAATGCGCCTTACTCGGAGCTTTCGTAAAGGGGTGCATTTATATTTGGAGACGCCGGAGTACTTCATATATGTATACTATGCAATTTGTCTGCTTGTGTGTGGGTACTTAAATGTAGGGTTGCTGGGTATCCCGAAAACGAAACTGATTTACGGTGAATTTCCAAAAATCGCTCGACTACGTCAATTTTGGGATTGAATAGCAATACGGTAAAATTCCCTTACTAATCCTTCATCCGATGCGGATGCGTACAATAGGAATTCACCCCCTAACATGTGAAATTGCGTAATATAGAAGTGACATGTCATTATAAGGGTCCCCATTTCCTGCATCTAAAATAGTACCTACTTCATTAGCGCATTTTCACGTTGGTTATGGCGTTGTTTTACTAAGAAAAGACTTACAGCCATAAACAATGCAATTCAGTAATGATAATTAGTACAAAGCTTTTCGCCCTAAAGCGAGTAGGTAACTCCAAAGATCATAGGCCATACCTCTATGTGCGCTACGTTTTTCTTTACAAGAAACATCGAGGTATTATTAACATTTCAAAGAAATGTCTCCATAAATAATACACTTGGCATTGCGGACATCTGATTTTTACTATATATTTGTGTTTACTAGGTGCATCTGTGGTTAAAATTTCAACAAAATATATTAATAAATAATAATGTTGATTTTACGCAGTCTGCGCATGCGCACAATCCTCAAGTTTTTTTTCTTAGCGCAGATACCAAAGCTATAAGCTACCGAATTAAAAAGAATGAACTAAATACAGGCTGATACAAATTCGAGGGCCACCAAGGGGATCTCGGGAACTGTAAGAGATAGGTAGGTAGTTTAAATTTGGCAAAGTTGCTTATTTTGATCCTGAAAAAATTCCGACTTCTTTCGGAGATATCCGGAAAATAACGAAATCTTGCAAAATCGTTTTATTTTTGACTGAAGTTATTTAAAAAGAAATTGAAATAAATGACACATTATTATGGCCATTGTTTCCCCTCTACAAGATGCTACTTTTAAATTTTAATTTTGACGTTTCGTCTCCAGTTAACCAACATCAACTTTGTTTTTTCTTATGGAAGTCATTTTTACTTGTGTCATTTGATAGAGAATTCTTTTCTTTGGTCAAAAATGTAAACATCACTATCTTTTAATCAGAAATAGCGATATTAATTCGTAAAAACGCAAGGAACTACGAATATACACTACCTCGGACAAAGTTTTCCAGGCAACACAGAAAATATATTAACAATATTTTTAAAAAAATTGTGATGTGTACATTTTTGAAATCAGAAAAGAATTCTTTATCAAATTACACAAAAAGTAAAAATGACTTGTATAAGAAAAAATAAAGTTGATGATGATTAACCGGATACGAAACGTCGGATTTAAAATTTAAAACTAGCATCTTATACAGGGGGCCATAATAATGTGTCATTTATTTCGAAATATCTTTTTAAATAACTTCAGTAAAAAATAAGAAATGATTTGAATCGTTCGGAAGGGCTCCTAATTTTAGGCATCCAAAATAACATTTTACAACAAACAAACATTTGGCTACCATATTAATTAGCTTAGGTATTGTTACTTTGACTTAACAGTAAATAAATCTCTTACGCATCCTTTAAACTGTTCGGCACGATACCAATTGACAATATCAACTTTTTCTTCAGTTGAATACATCGCACACGAACGAAAATAAAAATATGAAAGCCAAAGCAACAAATTCAAATTAATTAATGTGACAGCCAGAGCTTTGTTTAAAGAAGTTATTTTGGTTGCATAAAATTAGGCGCCCTTCAGAAGAGATTTTGTCT